TTTTTTTTTTTTTTTCCCAGCCGCATCTTTCCTTTTGGTAGTTCCTAGGGAAAATGTAAGATTTCCTTCAAAACAAGAGTAATTGATCTTTGTAATGCCCATTACCTCCACAACCTCCACCTTTTTTTCTCTCTGTGCTTGTGTGGGTTTTGTTTCGCATTCTTTTGTGGCGACTTCAACTGTCACAGTCGGGATGTTTGTGTGTGTGTGCGCGTGTGAGTATTGAGAAGTGTGGCTAATGTTGGTCCTCTTACCCTGTGCTGCATCAAGATGGAGCACATCTTTCAGGTACATTGTTTGGAAGTAGCATTGTGTGTGGGTGTGGGTGTGTTGCAGGGCGCCCGACGTCATGTGATCAATTATTCTTGTCATAACGGATCTGCTTTTACTGATCAGCAATTCCATGCATGAATTATGACTCGTTTTAATCATTTTTCTGCATTTGAGGTTCCAGTGAGGCCCGAAATATCCGTGTTAAAACCAAATATCGACATTGTCGAAGGAGGAAAGAAATGTGAAAAGCGTCAACGTTCACTGGTTGATGTGGGACTCAACATGGAGCTAAACCAAGGCACCAATGATTCTAGAAGCACAAAGTCCTAGTCCCAAATTAATTTGCCACTTGGAGGCTGGGTGTGTGTGTGTGTGTGTGTGTGTGCGTGTGTGTGTGTGTGTGTGTGTGTGTGTGTGTGTGTTAGCTACGTAATCCATGTCTGTTAATCTGGATTACAGACGGCCACACATGATGTAACAGTTTGTCATCCAAACACTTTGAAACACCAAAAATGTTCTCGATGACAGCAATATGAAGACCTGTAGGGGAAAAAAAAAAAACTGAATGGAAATTGCTCTTATCTCATTTCTGGGTTAAAACTCACCCCCATAGATGGGCGACTTTTGGAGCATTCGCCTTTGGTGGCACATGAACGTATGACGACCGCGTGTGCCCGGCAGGTTTTCTTGACTCGGAGCCGCTGAGGGAAGCGGACGAACACACAACGTCGGACGTCAACCTCAGCAACTCCATCATGACGGAGGAGGAGAGAGAGGAGCTCCAACTGGAGTTAACCAGAGTACTAAAACACGCACGCACAAATACAATGTTGCATTGTGGGTCAACCTGGGGGCGGGCGTCGCCATGTTTGTTTGGATAGTAAACGTCTGGTTGATTTTTTTTTTTGTTTTTTTTTTGGTCCTGGCACAGCTGGAGGATGAGATCAGCACACTGAAGCAGGTGCTGGCATCCAAAGAGAAGCGGCACGGCGAGCTGAGGCACAAACTGGGCATCACTGCTCTCGGCGAGCTCCGCGGCAACTTGAGTCGAGGCTGGCTCGATATGCAGAGCTCCACCGCGTAAGCGCAAACGGACACCGATGCACGACTCCAAAATTTCGGCCTACCCAGTGTTGTTTTTCTTTTCTAACGTGCCGTGTTTGTATTACACTGTAGTCAAAGGCGGACTTGTCCATCTATCAACACGGACGCCTGTTTTATTGACACACACGCGCACATTTATATATCTCCTCATCAATAATGAAGCACTTTGACCACACGGGTTTCGGGTGACACGAGCGCTTACGAACGCAATGCTAATCGTCTCACATCCCAAGATGTAGATCACGGGTGTCAAACTCATTTTTGTCGTTTCCCTTGGAGCGCCGTTATGACTGAAACCATATAAAGAAATCAAGAATCACGGTTTATACACGTATTGAAGAATCAATACAATACTTTTGGATGCCACAAGATGGCAGTCAAGTACTACTTTTGTCTAAATTAAGCTCCTACACTCCCAAGTATATTTCCTTGGCACCAATATGCCACAAGATTAAAGCTGTTGCGGTACTCTTTATTGGAAAAAAAAAAACGGGATGAAACTCCCTCCAGCCCACCCCGAAAAAAATCTGTGAATGCGGGTGTTCACTGTGTCTGGTGTTCACTGTGTCGTATTCTCTTGGGGTTTGCAGGTACAAGAGAACGTCCGAGACTCTGAGCTCGGCGGGACAGAAGACCACGGCGGCCCTCAGCACGCTCGGCAGTGCCATCAACAGGAAGTTTGGAGACATGAGGTGCCCTGCAACACTTTTACGTAGCTCATATTCCCTCACACTCACTGAACAGTGAGCACTTCATTCGGTTCGCCATTTCTCCGCCTGTCGGCAGTTATCTTTTATCTTAACACGTCACTCCTGCTCTCCGCCACCCCGTGACCGTATTTGTTGACAGCTCTGAACTTTTGTGTCAGTCTTTGCCCTAACTCGAAATGCGTCAAAAGCAGGGAATGTTGGGAGGATGAAATCCAAAACGTCACCCTGTCCTCTTATTTGTAGTTTGTTTGAGACGGGTCTTGTGATGTGAAAATATTGCTCCTGATACATAAACTGACACTCATTCCAATGAGTTCCTAAATATCTGCTCAGTGGACGAAGACAGAGGTGTAGACCTTCGTCCCAAAAATAACCGTGTGGCTGAAGCACATGTGCTAAACCACAACCCGTTAAGCTAACGGTGCTAATTTGGCTTCAAGGTCATCACGCCCCCATGTCACAGACCCCCCAGTTAAAATGGCTCTTTGACTTCTCCAGCTGGCAGTGACACTGAATTGATTTTTAATTCATCGTTTGCATCTTGGCATTGCATCTTGGTTAAGCTAATGTGCTGAGCTAATAGCCAGGCTAGCATGAAACTAAACGATTGAAAGTCTGAAACGCATGAGCATATTAGCGTTAGCATGTGCTGAATCGGGGCCAGTGGTTATCGGCCTGTCTCCTGTCTCGATCTGATAAAAGAAACAATGTTGTTCATACAGCATGGCCGGTCTACAGTTACTGTTTCCAAGGAGGTACGTTTGCGCGTGTGTGATTACAAGGCATGTCTCTTTAGTTATTATCCTGTGTGCGGTGTATTTTTTATTTTTTTTGGGGCCTGACGCGTGTGTCAGATTCAAGGATAATTCATACTTAATCATCATTAACCAACCAAACACAACACATAATGAGTGATTCACGGCAAAATAACTGTGGTCACAAGTGAACGACTACATTGAGAACTCCGTGTGCAGGCGTGTGCGCATTTGTCGATTCCAGCATGTGGTGAGCTTCTTCCTGCTGTGCTCATCTTAAATTCTGCTTTGTTGTCATTTTGTCTTTGTGTTTTCCAAGCCTCCATTTCTCATGTGATTTTTTTTTTTTTTTTTTTACCTTTTTAAACGAGCATATTTCAAACCAATTTAGTGGTGTAGTGCAGAACTGTTCAATGAAACACTCACGTTTTATCTCCCCCACCCCGCGTGCTCCCAAGGTCCAGCTCCATAGGGTAAGAACCTGAAGTTGCTTCCTTTACATTGTTTTATGTCTTAGACAATGCTCGTTTCCTCGATCAGAAAAATGTTCCCAAACTTTTTTGGGGGCGGGTGGGGAGGGGTGGCTGCAAAGTGTTGAAGGCATTTCAATTCATTTCAATGGGGATACAAGGTACCCTCTGAACTCCTTCCTTCGTTCCTTTTTTTTTTTTTATTTAATGTGCGTGTCCGTATATTTTTGCCCCACTTGTGTGTCTGTTTGCTAACCGCTAACGCTGATGTGAGCTCGGCTAATCATTAACTCCTCTCCTTGCGGACAGCTACTCCATCTCGCACTCTATGAGCATGCCTGCCATGAGGTAATTGTTTGAATATTAAGTATGTTACCATTTGTCAGAAACGGAATAAGCTAACAAGTCCTATAGAGTAGAAATGAAGACTGTACAAACTCAACACAAGTTACCTTTGTCTGAGCATATTCGTGTTTGTCCCAGCGCCGCATTCTCGCAACGGTAGTTTTAGCGTTGATGCTAGTGCTAATGATACGAGGGGTGTCCTGCCTGGTCCACCAGTAGTGGATGCCGCTTGCTCGGCGATCAGTAGGTTTTTTTTTAAATTTGTATGAGAATCACATGCCAGTAGTCTGAGCGGTAGCTTTAGCATGATGGTTGTGCTAATGACACGAGAGGTGTTCAGGCTGGTCAACTGATATTGTAGACCACTAAAATTTTGGTAAGAACATGGATGCAGTGTTGCACATATGATGTTATTTTAAGTGTCAAATTATTACATATGCTTGCTTTAAAATGAAGCAGAATTTGTTGACATGTGGTGAGGACAAAAAATATATTTATTTTTTTCCTTTCCAGAAACTCTCCCAGCTTCCGGTCTTTTGAGGAGAAAGTTGAGAGTACAGTATCGAACATCAAGGTATGTACAAATACACAATTATAAAGTCTGAAAAACAGCAAAATGTTTTCAACCCATCTTTCATCTTACAAGAGCGTGTTAGCTTCATGCTAACATAAGGCATACCGCCATCGACAAGCCCAAGGACATTACAAATAAAGTCATCATATAGACCACATAAAAACATGTTCAGTATAGTTTTCCCCTCGTCCTACATGCTTTCACCTCATTCAAGCAGAATTTTAAATCGCACTGCAAACATTTGTATTTAAAACAAAAAGCCCTTCTTTCGAGGCAGCTGTATGCGCTCTGAGTGTTCCTGTATTATTTGTTTTCGCTGCGTTTAATAAACCGCCGGTAAGTTTCTCAGCGACTGAAGGTTGTTGTTTTTTTTTCTTCTATGCGTTCCCAAGACTAAAGTCGGAAGTCCTGGGGCAGGAGGAAGCTTCGAGGACGTCCTCTCCTCCACGGCGAAGGCCAGCTCACAGGACACGCCCACTCACAACTTGACGGACACGCCCGAGAGGCTGGAGTAGGAAACGGTATTCATGTTTGCGTCATTTTGCGTCAATAGTCCTCAACATGAGTGGTCGCCTCCTTACTTTTTCTAGTTCACTTCCTTTTGAACGGAAACAATAAACGATGATCATGCAATATTTATCGGCTGCTAGTATGAACGTTTTGAAATGTTGCTGTATATTTTGACTAACTTTGAAAACCGCATATGGCGAATTTAACCCAATAAGATGTGACAAATATAGCCGTGACCTGAGTTCTTTATTATTTGACAGCAAGACACACATTTTGAGGAATTATAAATGGGTATTCGGACCAAGCTAAAAGGAAAACAAATAAGCACGCTGCGAGATGTAAGTTCTGAATTTATGACGGAGGTGTAGTTTTCTAATTGACACAAAATCCATTTTGGAATGGTTGATGATATATATATATATATTTTTTTTGAGTCTCCACTAATGGCCCATGTGCAGTTGATTTTGAGCATTTTCTGCTCCTGTATTGTCATGGAAAGTTTTGAAAGGATTTCACGTGACTGCCACGATGAGACACAGAATCCAATTCAGCTCTCGGGCTAATCAAATAATATTGAAGGAGAAGGCAAGTTGTACACAATCGTCTTGGGCAACTTAAAACCTCCAATTTGAAAGTGATAGCCAATACATTTATATTTATTCTGGTTCTACAACAGAACAACAGGGACTCTTGGCTCGATAAAGGTAATGTTGGACATTATGTAACAATGTTTTTTTTGACCTGTTCACAAACCCACAATCCAGTTTTCAGCCTGCTTGATATCATCTCTAGATTTCATTTTGTCGTGGTTGGAACACAATGACGGTCTCCTATATGTTGATCTGAAATAAAGTACATCTCAGGTCCCGTTTTTTTGATAATAAAATATTATTCAAATTCAACAACTGACTCATGGAGCGTTGTTTTCCCAGACGAGTGTTCATTTGATATTGCAGCCTGTTGATGCTGTGACTTGTGGAAAACTTGTAAAAAAAATGTGGTCATGATGCATGTGAAGGTGATTGCAAGTTGCCAGAGTTATTTGGTTCGGTCAAGCAACTCCTCCTCCTCTCGTCATTCAACGCACTGACCAGATGGAGCACGTCGGGATGCTGGAAACAACCTGCAAAATCACAAAATGATTGCGACAATTATATTTCCTCCTCAACTTTCCAAGCCACGCAAAATTGCTACTTTGAGAAATGTTGAGCAGATGAACAATCTATGGGGGAAATGTACCCCAAATGAATGTCGGGCTCACCCTGAGTGGAGTCAAAAAACTCCTGTAGTCTCCCTGGCGTTCCCTCCAGCTCTTCATACTCGTGCGCCTGCAGGATCATTTCCAGGCGGTCAAATTCTTTCACCAGCCTGGCTTCTGCGCTGCTCTGGTGCTCGTATTCCTAAACACCCCCCATAATATGTATATTAAATATGTATAATTTTATTCTGCCAAATAGCCTAAAACAAAAATCAGGATCAATTGGGCTCTAGTGAGGTTTGAGCCAGTAAAACATTCAAACTTTACCTCCCACAGTGCATATATCTCCTGCCCGAGGTGATCTGGCGTGAGACTCGATAGCTGCCTCATGGCTGCCTAAAGGAAAATACTTTTTAATCAACAAAAACAAACATCAGTAGAGCGCTGCTGCTCACTCAACCTCCTCCCGCCGGTGTTTCTCCGCTTTGCTGATGTTGTCGGACGGCGCAATATCTCCCACGATGCACTCGGCCATGTCATGAACCAAAGCTAACTTGATACACCTGAGGAAAACAGGAGACTAATATTGATAGCTCACTCAAAGGAGACAAAAAGCGCAAAATGAACCCACTTGTCCTTATCCACTTTAGGGTCTGTGATGACCAGAGACATCAGGGCCATGCGGTACATGTGGTCCGACACACTTTCTGGGTCCTGTACCTTCCTGTGCACCCAGCCTGTCCGTGGTATCCTCTGCAGGAAAGACAATAACATTTTAACTGTTGTCATTTATCAATTCAGCGTGACAAAATCAGAAAAAAATTCAATCAAATAGTCGACACTCACTGGGCATTCCGATCATGAAACATATTAATTCGAGCAGCTGGTTGTAACAGGTTTTGCTCTAACAAATCTGTGAGTGGAAAAATGTTGGCATCGTTTAGGGCCAGCGCCCTGGCCCAGTCAAGACGAATTTGAAATCTGATTGGTTAAAGAAACAGCTCATTTCTTAACAGTAACATAAGTCTGCACTGTAGTACTGATTAAGGGCGTTTGGGAAGATTAGATTTATATAGCTGCCACTTAAACGGAATATATGTCTTGATAACACAGTATTAGTCGGATCTTAAATAAACTATTTCAAATCAACCCTTTTATTCAAGTATATTATTTTATTAGGAGTCATACCATTTCTGAGGTTGTGGCAGAAACTCAAAGCATAATAAATAGGATTAAAACACAACTATTCCTGCATGGCTAAAGTAATACAAACGCATTACGGCAATTGTTACTGAACAAATATTACATTTAGAATTATTGTCTTACTTTAAGATGGCCGATTAGTTTTAAAAATTGGAGCATTTTCATTGCGTCTGTAGGGGCCGCCATGTCTTTTTCTTCTTCTACGCTCCACGCGCAGAGCACTGAACGGATCACGCCGTCCACACGATGAAAAGTAAGCATAGCCGTGGGATTAAATTAAAAAAATAAACATCTCGCCTGTTTTTAAAAAAGTGTATGTAAAAGAAAACCAAAGTGCATTTATTTCACGTTTCATTTGTTCAGCACACATGAACAAATATGATACATTGTGTTCGACTTGTACGGCGGTAAAGAGAGAGCAGGCACTCTAATTAACCGGAGAAGAAGAAGAAGGTTACCCGAGAAGAAGGCTCACCCCGGAAGTCTATGCAAGCGGGCTATTTGAAAACGTAAACTCGTCTTTTCCTGCTCGCGTTTTCAACCCCTCAAACATTTCCGTCATGCCGAGCAAACTGCCGAGACTCAAGCAAAGAGTCAAATCCAAGATGAAGACTAACATTAACGTGAGGCCGGCGTCGGAAGCAATGGTAAGCCGCCGTTTGTGACTGCTTCAGTGGGCTAATGGCTAGCTTGCTAAGGTAACCGTGTTCGCAGATGGAGCTCCTCGCTGTGCTTTTCCTCAACAATTTGGCCCAAGAAGCAAAAGCCAAAGCGTTTGAGGAGAGATCCGCAACGATCCGGGCCCATCACGTCAAAGCAGTCGCCAAGGTAATTCCGCAAACGGTAGAAACACTCTGTCTTTAAGCAAAAGTATAGATATGTGTGCATGCAACAAGGCTGTTAAAAGTATTGATTTTACTCGTTCAGTTAAGTGCAGACTCGGAAATGTACAAAAGGGAAAATGAATCTTTACTGTTGTCAGTGAACGCTTTGATAACCTGACAAAGAAATGACCAGGAAATAAGTGTACAGTACAAGCAAGAAGGCCTTCCAATAAATATGCGCACAAATTGAAATGCAATGTGATGATTGGTACATTTGACGAATTAGATACTGTGCACACTGCAATGTTGTACTGTACATGTACTGCATGTTCCTTGTACCGCCCTAACAAATCATCCTATGTCTTTATTTTTTAATACAAATAAATAAATCTTGCACCCCAGCATGGATGTTAATTCACATTCACTTTATTTCTTCAGAGAGTGCTGAAAAATGCCAGAGGATGAAGACCATGTTTTGATGATCATCCTTTCGCCCACCGGGAAGTGCTTTATTTTTTCCTGTCTATCTAATGTTGCTTCACTTTGATTTTCTCAATTCAAATGATCTGTTCCTTCCATTTTTGCTTTCTTAACTTGGTGTATACTGTATTCCTAATAATAAATCCACTGAATATTCTTCAATGGCTGAACTCATCTGTTATCTGTTGTGTATTTTGTTCGAGCACGTACGATTTTCTGGTGATATGTTTGAGGTCTGGCTGGAATTTATCAGGGTATTTTTCATTTCGAAGGGTGTTTGAAAGTCGCCTTTTTAGCTGTACTGTCAAATCATAAAGTACTTTTTTTTTCTTTGACATTTTCCTAATGTGGTGCAGTATTGTATATTGTCATAAGATAAAACCTTTATTTGTCTCACAATGGAGAAATTCGCAATTTGCAGCAGCAACATTTAAAATATATATTTTTCCCTATTATGGACAGTATCTTGTAAATGTCAACTGTCTCGTAATACTCCAACTTTGCGATGAATAGCATGTCTCATATTGACTCATTGTGTACATACTTATGCAACTGGCCTTCATTTTTGTAAAAAAAAAAAAGTATATATATATATATGGTATTCCAATTTTTTCACCTTACATTGTGCCTTGTGTTGACAGTGAAGAGATGGACTGTCTGGCGAGCCTCCGTGCCACCATTAACTCATCAACACCAATTTGAAAGTGGCCTCCGTTGCAAGGTAAGTGACTCCCCCAAAAAAGTGCATTTCAGTAATCCGGGCGAGATCCGATGAAACATGGGTTTCCGTTTCAAAACTAGCATGTATGTTTTTTCAAATCTGAAGGGAAGTCACAGTGCCCCGTGGAAAACCCACATAAACGCAGGAAGTGCATAAATCCCAGAGTTGAGATTCGAACACAGAACCGTAGAGCTGTGAGGCAGCCGTACTAACCAGTAGCCCCACTGTACGCCTGCAGCTGTTTTATAAGTGTCAGATCAGTTTGAAAGGCCGTATGATAAACTACTGTATTGTCCTGCTTATTCACATTTCATTTGGTTTGTGTGTCCACGCCACTCGTACTTTCAGATTTGAGCATGTGCATTAAATGTATGTCTCCACAAGGTGATGCTGTTGAACAAATTGTGCGTTTGGTTCTGAGGGTTGAAGTCAGGCGATTTATTATTATTATTATTGCGCTATTTTTAGTTCATTGGTTTAAATATTAAAGAAAATGTCCAATTTCAAGTTGAGACAAAAATCTCAAAATACATGAACTAAACTAACAATGAAAGATTCAAACATGTATTTAGTTGTACTTATATTTTGTTTTTGTGTGTGATTAACTTTAAATAGCATTTCCCAATGAATTTAACTTCATTGGACAAAATAATTATAACAAAATTAGATGCAGTATACATTTACATTTTTTTGCATTAAAGTGTAGAAAGTGATTTGAACATTCAATATAGAACTCTGATTTTCCTTGACTTTATCTCCGACTTTAACTACTCTTGAGATCAAGCCTAGCTGCAGACAAACTATCATAGAGACTGTAGGGTGTGTTTTTTCATCTCCAGGACCTCAGCAACTTAGTTTCCCTACTGTGTGGCCTTTAGGACCATATAGGCTGTCGAAAAACAGACGCATTCATGCACGAGCAACGTATCGGGAGGAGAATTAGGAGCGACACTTTGTCGGGATGTTTAAGGAGAGACAGGCTTGATGGGCTAACCCAGTCAAAATAACAGAATGACAAGCGAAGTAGTTGAGTGCTCCAAGTCTGAACTATACGCTATGTGATCTATGTGGTGTATTTACAGTACAGGAATATATGATCGGGCCACAGACAGACAGGCAGGGGACATTTTACACCTGCTATCACACCCACCTCTGTGCTGTAAGTGCTGTGTGTGCAGTGCAACATATAAGGTTTGGCGTTTTGTGTGTGTGTGTTTTTTTTTTTAAACCACGTGGAAGTGGAAAAATTGAGAGAAATAATCTGCGTTCGAAATTGTTCTAGAAATTGTGTTTGGGATAATAGCTTTTTGTATGAAAATGTGAAACGAGCTCCAAATGTTTTTAAATAGTCTTTGTTGCAATGTATTGGCAACATTGCATATTGGTTTCGAAATCAAAACAATGATTCAAAACATTTGTGTCTTAAATTTGAATTCAATTCTTGAAATAAACTATACTTCGCGCTATGTTCTCATTTATTGAAATGCACCTGTAGATGCTTCAGTCACAGCACAAATTTAAAGTGACTTGGGAAAAAAAAGTATTTTCAAAAGATCTTACAAGATGCGGGCTTCTTGTGGTTTCAGGCTTCTTCTCTACATCCTACAGAAAATCCACGGTATTGCGTATGCCGACGTCCCGCAAATAGTCGTTCGCATCTTTCACCACCTTGAGGCCCGTGTGTCCTGTATTTAGCTTTATTGTGCAGGATTAGTTATGACTTTAATCAGGCTCCATTAGGCACCCTTATCGGCAGCCATAATGCTTCAACTGCTTTCCATCTGTCATCGCCGCAGTGTTTCAAAACGGGCATCTATGTTAAATGTATGTCAAGGGTGTCGGCTCGGTTGGGAGCGGGGGGAGGGCGGTGCCTGTGTCACGCCTGCAGGAGCCAGGAATGACCTCACTGTGGCGATGATCATCGAGCACATGGCATCAGCGCCTATCGAGTGGCATGCCTTGCTAAGGCGGCCGCTAAACCATGAATAACGCAGATGCATCACCGCTATGATGACATCCCAAATCTTGAAGGTGATATTCTGGATGTGGCGCAAACAGATTTTGGAGCATGATGACGCCAACGCGTATTCTGGGTCACATGCGGTCCGTAGGCTCGGACACGATGGAGCGTGGCTCGGTATGCCTTCAGTAAACAAAGAAACAGAGCAGGAAGTCTTAGGAAGCTAGAAACTCTGCAGAAGTGAGTTGAGGAGCTTCAGTGAGCCAGAATTAGTGTTTTGCCTTCGTTTTGTGGCTTGTTGGTGCAAAGGAACTATGTCGGAAAGACATGAGGAGCTTCATTTCGACAAAGGTGGTGCTTTCAGAGGGATGTCGATTCTTAAAATTGAGCATATCAATAGTTTGACCTGTATTCAACTAAATTATTTTAAACTTCAGATTCAGAAACAATATATTGTTGATCAAGAAAAATAACGGAGTCTAGTAGCACTAAACGACGACTTATTTTAGTGTCTTACAATTTGGATGTAAAATAATACGACGTAAAAACTCAATACTCAATAAAACATTCTTTATTCTTTTAAACTGTTCCTTGGCGCAGAGCGCTGACTTATTTGGAGGGCAGCGGGGGGTGGTCCGCTACGCTAAGCGACGCTAATCGGGTGTCTTTGGTGGCGTCATGTTTTGATTGCGTCCCATCAATCTGTCAAACGGAGTATTTACAGCCCCTGGATTTAGAACAACGCGGCGCTGCTATCATCTGGGTTCGACCCCCCGCCGGGTTCTGCCGCCTCATGTTTGCTTCTTCTGATACATTATTCTTACTCGTCTTCAGTGTGTGTAACGCTCATATAATTAGCCACTTATGTCATTTGGACCCGAGAGAAGCCATGTTGCATAAGAGCCCCAATTTTTGCATGTGGGATTCGTTTCACTCGAAGGTATATTGCAGTACCTACGCTATAGTGCACTTTAACACTGCTGAGATGGAATCGGGGAAAAATTGGTTTCCGTGAAACGTGAGCGTCCCCTTATTTTATGCAATCTGCATAGCCGGCAAATCGGCAGTTCTACTTTGCCCTCGCAGCCAGTCATGTGAAAGGACTTCTTGTTGGTCATTCCGTCAGTGAGGCTCAAGCTAGTTCATGTGACCGCATTGCCAGCATTCCTCCAACGTCGACTTCCAAAAGTGAATTTGAGACCGTATTTAAGGTGACACTGTCCCTGGCGCAGCTCTCACT